TTTATATTTATCGGCAAAGTGGACTTACTCCACCGTTCACTCGAGGGCAATCGCAGTCTGTCATTCATCCATTAAATTTGATTAAAATATTAATTCGTTCAATCAACTTTTAGTTTTATATTAAAATTATCATTTAACTTTAATAAAATAAATAATACTCATAACCTCATCCTTGAGAAAGAGAGAAATCCAACCGTTTCCAATTTATAACCCCCCATAAAATAAAATAAAATAAAAACAAAATCAGTCATTCACCAGACAAAAGTGACTGTTTGCAATATAGTTTCATCCTTTAAGATTTTTATTTTCAGACAGTCAGATTAATTCTTCTATTTCCTAAATTGATCCAACTCCAAGTTGTAAAGCTTTCATAGGTGACGAGCGCCATACCTCAACAGATCAAGGATATGTTTGGATTAATTTTTAAGGGATTTAGCTTTTTGATATTATTTATATTTATATTTTTATATTTTTTTTAATTTAAAAAAAATTTAAAACAGTAAAAATTTAAAAATTATAAATTCAAACTTTTTATATATTTTTTTATTTTTAAAAATAATTTTTAATTTTTTTTCAATAAAAATTTAAAATTTTCATTTATAAACCATATTAAAAAAGTAAAAACTCTAACAAATTAAACCAAAGCCTTTAAGTCATCCTTCCCTTTTGCCTCAATCCAATAACAGATTCTATACCTTACGAGTTCTACCATCTCTTCTCGATTAAATTTCTCCGATCCAAATTTCTTCTGATTCCGTCCTTCCCAAATTGGCCATACCACCGCAAAGCGCAAACCATGATGGCTCTCCAATTGTTCCCTCCACTTTCTTTTCGGGCCCAGACTACCAGGTCCACGTGTTTGTAAAGTGTTGCCTCCCATTAGGATTCGCTGTCAAAAAGTGCCCACCATTGATAATATTTTGGCCATATTTCCCATGCCATTATACAGGAAAACGACAGATGATTTGTATTTTCCTCCTATTGACCGCACAACCTATCCTCCTGCATGCTCAGGACGCCCCTTTCTTTTTTTTTTTTTTTTTTTTTTTT